CACAAATATTTGAGAGGGAGCTTCCGATAAAAATTCGGTTCGAGAGAGGAGTTCACTGTGTTTCGACCAGAGAGAGAGAGATCTCGAAATTTTTTTAGGGTGGGAGTGCTCACCTCCCCTATTTAAATTCTTATAACGTATTATTATATTATTTTATTATGCTCTACCTCATACCTGAGGTGTCGCGTTAAGAGTCTGCTTTTAACATACGAAAACCACGTCCGCTAAAGGACGTGGCGAGCAGCAGGCAGCAGGAGGTAAAAGCAACAGGCAAAAGCAAAAGTTTAAACCAAAGTAAAAACTTTTGAAAATAATGATGGTCCTCAAGGACCATCATACTCAAACAGACCATCACCTATTTAAAAGCATCTTTTCTTCCTTTTTTTTTTTTTTTTTTTTGAAATTTTAGGATTGTTACAACTGGACTTCGAGAGGCGGTCATTTAACCACTCTTCACAAGTAAACAATCTCTTTAATGCATCTTCAGATTCTCGAATGGAGTCCACAGCGGGTTATGGTAGGCCTGATTATCTATTTTTTCTTAGAGTGTTCTTTAAACAGAAATCAAATTTTAGAGTGGTTGTATATAAATCTCGACATCAATATTGCTTCCTCTAGAGTCTCCTTCACAATTTTGATCTCACCGATCTCCTCTAACATAAGATCGATGCTGTGTGTAGCACACAGGGTCCATACTAGATGCTTCCTCTTATCCATCAACTTGCTGCCCGCAGAAACACATGCACGCGCATTGTCCGTAATAAACTAGACTACATGCTTATCTCCCATCTCCTCCACTATCTGATCATATAGTCGTACGTAGAAGTTTACATCCTTCTTCGTCCATGATACGTCTTTGCTAGACAAAAAAGCTGTACCTTTTGGGGAATAGTCCAAGAAGTTTAAAAACTCCTTTTTGCTCACTTTATTCAACCAACCATCACTCATGAGAGTAATGTCTGTCCTTGGCCAACTCTGTTTATATTCTTCAATCCACTTTTTAACTTCCTCCACCTCTTCATCTAATAGTGGCCCACTGAGCTCATATGCCGTCGGGGGTTTTACCCCAGGCCCGACTCTCTGGATTGTACTGACCATAGGTGGAAAATATGGTCTATTGGCTGCATTAAAAGGAATCCCTTTATCGTAGAACCATTTACCAACATATCTCTCTAACATGTTTCTTGTACCTTTAAGCATACCTTTTAGGGTCATCTGTTGTGACTTAGGCTTTGAGAGAAATGGGTCTTTACGACTATGACCTGCAATACTGGCACTCCTAGGTAACCTAGAAACAATTTCTTCAACAACTGATTCTCCTTGATACATATTGCCACCAACCCCTCCATACATATTTGAGCTGGGCCCGCCACACATGCTCGAGCTGAGCCCGCATGCATATCTGAGCTAGGCCCACCATGCATATCTGAGCTAGGCCCACCATGCATGTCTGAGCTAGACCCACCGGGCATTCTAAACCGACGTTCCCTCTGATATTGTTCATGTAAACTCAATCTTGTGGCCATGTCCAGCTCATTATTATATTGCTCTTCTAGGTCATTATTATATTGCTCTTCTGTATCATTCATGCTTGATGGTATATATAAACTAGCTATCTCCTCATTCATCCTATGTTATGTAATTTTTTTACCTTTGTTAGCATTAAGAATTGCCGCCATTTGTTTTTTTACGTTACTAGGGACACTAGTGCATGCAGAAACTTCTCCCTTAACCCCTGCGAAGTATTGCTTGAACCTATGTACCCCACTACTTATCACTCTTTGACAGTAATTACAAATAATTTTGTCTTTCTTGTTTGGATCAAGTTTGACCCCATGTTGCCATGCAGGGTCTTCTACAGATCTTGACATGATTCAACTGTTTTGAGATGTAAAAAGTATAAAATTAACCTGACATTTCAAAAAGAAAAATAATCACCATGTGTAGTGATAATATGTTGCGGTAGTTCATGTAGTCATATTTGTTGTTATTTGTTATTGCAAAATACCTTTATTGACAATAATATTTTCGTACATATCAATTACAAACATTCAGGATAATATAATACAAAATGCAAGCTCCAAACATGGCTACAACTCAATTATCAAGAACATACATTTTTTGCATTAAAAAATTAATAATAAAAACAATTCTTCACAGAGCCAGCTAACATCAGTAATTCCAACTAAAAAATCCATGAACAACAGATAAAAAAAATACAGTTTTGCACTAAAAATATAATAACATGCATTTTTTTGCATAAATAATCTATCAACATACAATTTCTTCAACAAAAACTTTAACAATAAAAATTTAAAATATGGTTTAATACCTCATGATAATTAAAACCTTGTCACGGTTTTCACATCTTTTCGAAAAATCATCATTTTTTAAAAAATTCGATCATGGAAAAAAAAAAAAAAAA